TTTTTCAAAGTTAAGATATGTACAGCACATTTTCTTATAGACATAAGGCTTCACTGCACACTTAACAGGCCACGGCACAGTGTAAACATAACTTTTACATGCAGTGGGAAACCAAAAACATCGTGTGACTTGCTTTTCTGTGATATTCTATTTATTGTGGTGGGCTGGACCCGAACCCGCGGTTCCTCTGAGGTAGCCATGCTTTTCTTTCCCATCATGTTTTTAAAAGGTTTGGGCCGCTATACAGTGTCCCTTTCCATATTGAGGTCTAAGAATTAATTAAATAAGCTGGTGAAAAAACATCTTAAATGTTACACAAAAATCATCCTGGAGTAAACAATGTCTTCATTTTCTAATTGTTATTGTTTTTAAAACTGGAAGAAACAAAGCTGAATTTCTGGGGGCCAACTGCAGTGCTACTTTGGGAACTTCTTCAGCCCAGGACTTTCCCAGAATTTTCATGTCCCATACAAACCATCCATCCATCCCACATCTGGTTACATTTCCAAATGCACCAGAAGCATGGAGATCAATTCAAACATTTTTAAGCAAAACGGGAACTGAATAAGCTAGAAATATGTTAATGGAAAAAATGAGGCTATTTCCAATCATTTATTTTTGGAAATGGGGAAATGATGGTGAGTTTAATGTAGACTTGTGGTGCCTAACAACTCTCTCAAAAGTGACATTAGATTCCAAGTGGACTCTTCGAAAAAAGTAACAGCACAGGTTGGGGGACACCAATTCAGTCACAAACAAAACAAGCCCCTTAATTAACAGTCAGTGAAGACAGGCCTGCATATAGTCAACTGCAGCCCATTGCTGCTTTTTTAATGTCTTTCTAACAGGCTCAAGATAGAGGGAAGCCTCTTGGCTCTCTGCAGACTTTGTATAGACTTAAAAACAAACCCGGAACCCAGCTATTTAGCAGAATTTCTAATTACTTACTGTCAGTCAGGGTTTGGAGAATTTCTAAGGCATGGAAAGAGCTGTGGATTTGGCCAACATGAAGAACTGCTTGTACAAAGCAACGTGGGCAATAAACAACCAAAATAAGGGCAGTTTTCCATACCAAGACCTGAAAACGGCAAGAATTGCGCTGAAGTCACAGGGGAGTCTGACTCGGGAGTAGGCGAGAGCACTAGTTGCTGCCTGTGGTTCTTCCTTGGTGACAAGGCCGCGGGCAGGTTCAAGCCCCCCGTCACTGCCCACGAGCAGCTCTCACTGACCTGCAGGCACTGCTGCCGGTCACCCCCTGCCCGTCGGGTTTGTTGTCAGGGGAGCCACTATGCGTTCTCGGAAAGCTACTTTAAGTGATGCCATCTTTTCCACATAATAATCTGTTCCTTCACTCAACAAATATGTACTGAGCACTCATTCCATGTTCCAGAAGCTGAGGATAAAGCAGTGAACTAAGTACACAAAACGGTCAATGACTCCCATGCCCCCTATTCCGGGAATGGGGCAGCCCGCTCAGGGACGGCGCTTTCAATGCGAAGTACTTGGTGCCATGCGAAGGGCCTCACCAGCACACGCCCAGCATATAATCCGGCAGCTGAAATAATAGCGAAGGGGATCCCCCACCAGGTACACTATTTCAATTTTACGTGAGTGAAAAATAATAATGCGCTTAACAAAAAACAATTATTTCTACCAAACTCTTTTTAGACTACATCTATAAAGCGAGGTACCCTTCTGCCTTCCTGGTAGACACAGGTTGATGCAGCTTGACAGACAATCCAACATGCTTGACACGTCGGCGCAGGAGTCTCATTTTAGTGAGCAGAGAGTCCTGGAATGCAATCTTCAGGCTCACTGAGGCAAGCATTTGATGAAAGCAAGACTTGTCCCCACAGAGTCTGGGGACCAGCTCACGTCAGGAGATGAAAATGCTGGCTCATGCTGGGCCACCTTTGCAGAGAAGAGTCTCCATAGTGGATTCAAAAGCAGAAGTGCTTCTAGCAGTGGCAACCTTTCCATGGTCTTACCGTGTCCCCACCTCCTGGGGACAGGCCCTCAGCCTTCAGAGTCAAGGGCGCAAAGCAAGGTGTTGAGTGCTGGAAGCCAGGGACTGAGGTGTTGGGAAATTTAATTAGCACGTGTGACACTAAAAGGGCTGGGAGCTGAAAGCCATTCTGGAAGTGTGAAGAACTGTGATGCTTTTTGCCAACTCCCACTTCCCAGGAGTGAACAAGCCTGGGAAAGGTGAGCTGTTCAGAGTTTTGGTTTGTTTTTTAAAAAAATTTTGTTCAAGCCTTTTGTTGGGAAGTCTTCCATAGGTTGTGCTAATAAACTTTTACCGTTACTAAAAGAAAGATTTACCTTCATCTGCCCAGGTCAAGGCCTTTATGGCCATGAAGAAAGCTACTACATAGATCTGCAGTGGATCTAATGCCGCATTTTATAACAAACATTTTATAACTCAGGAAGAGACTTTTTAAAGCTTCCATAAAATCCTGTTCAACTCACCAGGCAAGCAAAGAGCAAAGATTAGACATGAACTTGAGGTCCCTGTACTCCAAAGGCTCACAGTCTTGGGCCAAGGAGGTGATATGGAATCCATTATAAGTACAAAGTGAAATAATTTGAATATAAAGCAACTGTGGTAGGACTATTACAGAGCAAATCTAGCCAGTAAGTTTAGAGCAGGCTTTTCACAGGAATGCTCTGGGCTGCATCTTGAAAGATAAAGAAACTTTCAGAAATGAAGATGAGGGGAAGAGCATTTAGGGAAGAAGAAAGTAGGTAAATGGGCGTAGAAGTGTGTTTTGAGAGAGTGGGCAGAAATGTGACTAACATACGTGGAGGCTGCTGTGGAAAGACCAATGTTGTGGAGATACAGAGGGAACCCAAATCCTCTCAGATTACGAATTGGGACTTTGAAATCAACAGACAAGTGCTGGTGAGGATGGAGAAAAAGGGAACCCTCCTGTGCTGTTGGAAGGATCGTAAATTGGTGCAGCCACTATGGAAAACAACATGGAGGTTACTCAAAAAATTAAAAATAAAACTTCCATATGGTCCGGCAATTCCCTCCTGGGTATTTATCTGAAGAAATGGAAAACACTAGTTCAGAAAGACTATTTACAGCGTTACTTACAATAGCCAAGAAATAAAAGTAACCTAAGTGTCCATCAATATACGAGTGGATAAAGATGCGATACATATATACAATGGGCTATTACTACTCAGCCATAAAGAAAGAATGAAATCTTGCCATTTGAGACAACATGGATGAACCTAGGGGGTATTATGCTAAGCAGTATATGTCAGAGAAAGACACATACTGCATGATTGCACTTAGCTGCAGCATCTAAAAAGCAAAATAAATAAACAAACTCCTAGATACAGAGAACAGACTGATGGGAGGGAGACTGGGGGACAGGTGGAAAGGGTGAAGGGATTCATGAATACAAACTGCCAGTTATAAAAATAGTCAAAGGGACGTAAAGTGCAGCAGAGGGAGCACAGTCAACAACATTGTAAAAACTATGCATGATGCCAGATGGGCACTAGACTTATTGGGGGTGATCACTTCATTTGTTATGTAAATGTCTAACCACTAGTATAATACTGTTTGCCAACTATATATAATACTGTATGTCAACTACACTTGAAAAATAAATTAAAAACAAAAAGGACTGAGACATTATTGAGAAGGCAGATTCTGGAGCGAGGTGTAGGCGAAAATCAAGGGCAGCTGTGGACCAGAGGAATGCCATCATTTAGGTTGAGCTTTAGGGGGAAAAGAAACCTGTCAGAAGTATGTAGGGTGAACTGAAGAGAGCATCTGCCAGGTTCAGGTGGAAGACAAAAAGTCATGGCTTGAGCCCAGGACGTATAAAAGCAATGGTGAGGACAGAAATGACGGGTGTGAGATGCTGCAGAGGCCGTGCCCGGGCCTGGCTCCGGATTTGATCTCGGGCGACTGAAAGGGCCAGGGTGATTGATTCTAAGTTTTGAGTCCGAGGAGGAAACAGGAGGATAAGATGAATCCAGGAGATGAATGATGGGAAGTAAAATTGACTAGAGCTACAATGAAAAAGAATAGCTAAAGATGGACTCAGAAAAAAAAGGGGGAAAAAAAGTGGAAAAAAAAAAGACACTGATGTTGAGAAGCGGCATCTGAGTGGGGAAAGTCAGAGGACTGATCCTGCATTACCCGAAGCTGTTTAATCTGGGAGAAAATTCAGCCAAAGGTAACATTCACTAACTATACAGATTGCTTTCAACTTGCATTTAAATTTTCCACCCTTCCAGAGTTTATGGAAACTCCCCAATATTTTTAAGTATTTTATTTTATTTTTAGAGAGAGGGGCAGGGAGGGAGAAAGAAAGGAAGATAAACATCAATGTGTGGTTGCCTCTTGTGCGCCCCCTACTGGGGACCTGGTCCACATCCCAGGCATCTGCCCTGACTGGGAATCGAACTGGCAACCATTTGGTTTGCAGGCATTCAATCCACTGAGCCACACCAGCCAGGGCACCCAATCTTTTTAAAAACTGCACTTCCTACAGTATATGGATGTGCCACAATTTATCAGTCTCCTTCTGAAGGGTGTGAAGTGGTAAGAGGAGGAATGCATGGGTGTTGCCAACAGCAAGAAAAAGTGATGCTTCATGTCACCCTGTACCTCATTTTCTCTACTGTACTTTGTTTGGACTCACACTTTCTTGGAAGAGACAGAAACAGAAAGCAGCTGCCCACCCTCGCATGTCCATCTCTTGTTGGTGTGTTTTCTCACAGCTGGCCATTCCAACCAGGCAGCCTATGTGCTTTGAAGCCCATAAACTGACAGTTATCTTTGATGTTAGTTTGGTGCTTCAATGGAATCATAAACCTAAGGGGTCGCCGTGACCTAGACCAGGCCTGGAGCTCTCAAGTTAGAGTTGGGGGCAAGGCACACTTCCCACAGTTCCAGTAACTGTAAAAAAAACTGCCTCATGGAAAATCATAAAACAACTCAGGTATAGGCTTTTATTACATTTAGTCCAACATACCTCAAACTCCAGATAGTGATCTTTCAGTTTGTACTCATCTATCTCCTTGGCCTTCACTTTCTTGTCTGGGGGATATGAGCGGTGCTCAGCCAGCTCCGTGGTAATCTGCTTCAGCTTGCTTTCGTGAGATTTCAGCTGTTCCTCCTGCAGGAGATATTAAGCCATTTAATGTCGGAACATACATCAATAAAAATCCCTTATGATGAATGACTTTAATTCACTGAAACGGTCCAGTGTGCCTCGGCGGCCACACCTCACCAACTTTCTCAAGCCTGGTCACATGTACCTTTGCCAATAGCAACCAAGGCCTCCCTCCCTCCCCAGGCCCCAGCACAAAATCCAGTGCTCTCAGAGCCCTTTGTCAGCTCTAACTTCCCTGGAGTTGAGACAAAGCCTCCTACTCCAAGAGGTGAGGCACCCACCGAGCGGCTGAACACCTGTCCTGAGTGCCACCCAGTTTGGCTTCTCCATTTCATGGCCCCTCACCGAGACTGCTAGTTTCCCCGTCTCTCACAATGACCGAAGGGCCTGTCTGTGTATTTTTTTCCTTTTTGAAATAAGCTATGCTACTAAAAAATAATTTTCTGAAAGCTATGAGATAATATTCTAAAAACTGTAGCAGTCTATGCCCTTTCCCACCAAAGTAGTACAAGTTCTGACATCCTTCAACTTTACCGACCCAAAGTAGTTATTTAGTTAAAATGTACTTATAGAGGGATCGCCGCCTGGACAGTGTTGTTGCGGCATCAGGCACCAAGGCAGCATGGCTGACCCTGTGTCAAAGAACCGCATTCCAGGGGGGCCACTTAAATCACTTTAGCAATAAGCTACCTAGCAAGACACACTATCGAACCCTCTGGCAGTATTTTAAATAATGAAACAAGGAGATTGGAATTCTTTCGCATTCCTTTGTTTACTATTCCACTTTCACATGTAATTATCCAAATCCTTGTTGAGTATAAATTTCACATGTACAATAAGAAATGGGTGAAAACACATTAAAGGGAACTGATTAAATTAGGTGATAAATACATTTTGTATAATACCAACATAATTTCAAAATATAAACATTTTATTTTGGGTGAGTGAATTAATTAAAAAGACTACCAAAAAGGAATACTTATGGACACTAATTAAGATTATATAACATCAATGTAAATTAAAAAAGAAGATAGTCAGAAATTATGAGTCACATATAGTATCTTCGGGGTTTGTTATAATGCATATTCTGAAAGTCAAACAAGGAAAACCAATCCAATCCAAAGCCATCAAAATAGAAGAGAACGATAAAATATTTTTAAAAAGCAGAGTACATGACTGGAAAAATGAACAACAGAGGTGGTAGGAATAAGCAAAGTAATCAATGACAAGACTCATTTAAAAATACCAACTAAAACAAAATAAAACAAAACACCCCAAAAAAGTCCTAGAAAAGTACAAGGGGGAAAAAAGAAACTTATTTTGAGATTTAAGAAAGGTGTCTGTATCTCCATGCCTATCATTTGTACATTGGTAATTCTGAACACAAGAGAAAAATGCCACAGATAGCTTTTATTTACAACTTTTCATTCATCTTTCTCTCTTTTTTTTCCTTCAGAGAGACTACAGACTATGCCATGAACTGAATTGAATGTCTGTGCCCCTCCAAAATTCCTATGCTGAAGCCTAGTGTGGCTGTATTTGCAGGTGGGGCTCCTAAGGAAGTAATTAAGGTTAACTGAGGTGGCAAGAACAGGGCGCTGACACAACAGGATTAGTGTCCTCGTAGTAAGAGATACCAAGAACACACACTCAGAGTGCAAACACCAAAGAAAGGCCTTGTGAGGACACAGGAAAAAAAGCGAGCCAAGTGCAACCCACAGGGAGATCCCTCACCAGACCCCAACCCTGTGGGCATCTTGATCTGGGACTAACAGTCTCCAGAACTGTGACAAAAAAAATTCTGTCATTTATGGCACCCAGTCTGTGGTATCTTGTTCTGGCAGCCAGAGCTGACGAAAAAGAATGTATTTATGTTAACAGCTATCTTCTTTCAAAGTAATTTTCCTTTATATGTTTATTGTAACATGTAAACTAACAGAATTTTTGGCAAAAGATATTTGATGACTAGACTGTTTTGAAACAATAAAAACAGGAGTTAATCTTCTCTTTTTAATAAAATGATTCAGGCATATTAATAAGTCATATTGAATGACATAGGTCATTCAATATGACCTGAAACACTAATGTATCTAGCATCCAGTTTAACAAATAAAACATTATAAAAATAAGTTGAAACTCCCTGTATTTACCTACTCTTCTTATTCCTTTTTTATGCTATTCCTATACCAAAAGAAGAGTAGTATGTTCTATAGGTTTTTATACTTAACGAGCTTTTTTTTGGTAACTTGTTTTATCATTCAACATGTTTTTAAAATTTGTTCACATAGAAGCTCTAGTCCCTTCCTTTTAACCACTGTGTAGTACTCCAGTGCAGGACATACTACAATTTCACTGAAGGGTATTTAGGCTGTTTTCAGGCTCCTTTGGGCATTGAACATGTTGCCTAATGGATACAACCAAGAATTTTCCTGTAGTATAATCACCATGAGGCAGAATTTCTGGATTTCAGAATATGCTCATCCTTAAAATGACTCTAAACTGTGTTCCAAGCATTGCCACCTGTTTACAATTGCACAGTAGGCTTGAAAGTTCCCACTTATTTACATTCTTGCCAACATTTTATATCACACTTGCAAGTTTTTCCTAATTTTATGGGTATGAAATAATTAGCCATTAAATTTGAATTCACATTGTCCTGATTATAGGCAGGATGAACTTGTTTTCAAGTTTACTGGGTTTCCTTTTCTGTAAATTGGCTGCTAAATACTGGACCCATTTTTCCATTGTAAAGTATACTGATCTACAGTTTAAGAAAATGAATTCTTTTCTTTTTTGGTTAATAAAATAATTAAAATACAAATACTAGCTTTTTTTCCAAATAAGATTTTACATAATTTGGTAAAAGAATTTACAAAATTCTCTGTATTTTTGGATTTTGCCTCTGTGTAAATATTTGCTTAGATGTTTGCTTTTTCCAAGAGCATTAGATCTAGGCTTCTCCATCTTGAGTATTCAAATCTCTTTCTTGTTGAATAAATCCAAATTCTACTCATTTTAATGAGGAATTTATGCCAAGACAATACTATGCAAAGTGTATTATATTTGTCACTTTCCCACCAAAACCACAGTTTACTAGGATTTACTCATTGCTATGGAGCTATGGTTTATTAGCAGCATCATTTGGGCATTATTTTTATGGAGAGACTAATTGAAGAAATGTTGAAATTCAATGTGCAAGGCTTAACTCTGACTGCACTTTCCTCATGAAGCAAGAATCAAGGAAATAATCTCAAAATAAAAAATAACACGTGGCTCTTTCGGGCCTGAATTGGTAGACCATGCAAATCATTCCAATGCTAAAATCCCCCTGTAAAGGACACACACAGACTTCCCTGACAAAAACCAATGGGAAATGTGGAGGAGAAAGGCAGCAGCCCCGGAGGGGTGTTGCGTTCTCAGACTCAGGACACCTGGATTTGTAATGGACACAGTGGAGACAGACGGGGGTGGAGGGCGGGGCCTGCTGGTTTTCTCTCTTTAGTCTCCCTTTAGTATATACAGCAAATATACTTCGTTTTTTTTTAAAGTATATTTTATTGATTATGCTGTAACAGCTGTTCCATTTTTTTCCTCCTTTTTATCCCCCTCTACCCTGCATACCCCCTCCCCACAGTATCCCCCCGCCACCTTAGTTCCTGTCCATGGGTCATACATGTAAGTTCTTTGGCTTCTCCATTTCCTATACTACTCTTAAGCTCCTCCCCCGCCCCCTGTCTATTTTGTACCTACCAATTATGCTTCTTATTCTCTTTACCTTTTCCCTCATTCTCCCCTTTCCTGCTGATAACCCTCCATGTGATCTCCAAAGTATATTGTTCTTATGAGACAATATGAACAAAAGGGATTTCAGAGAAGGCAGAGAAACACATCTGACAGTTTAAAGAAAGGGAACAGAGGCAGGAAATGGCATATACTCCTGGAACCTTTCAAGTTACGAAGTGGTAACTTAAGGAGTGGCATTAAAATCACAGCTGTAAGAAAAGTTACGGTGGTTATATGTCAATACATGTAATTGGCAAAACCTTTGATAATATATACAATGAAATTTTTATATAAACAGCAAGTGTCAGATTACGTTATGTAAGATTTCTTTTTCCCCCTACTTATATAGCACTTTGAGGAAATTCTCATATTTTGCTTTAAAATACTGAACCCTAATTTCATTTCCACAAATTAAGTATTTCTAACTGATGAAGCAATGGGGTCAGACAAGTGGATGTTCAGAAGTGAGTCAAGGGCTGGGCCTTTATTCCGAGGCACAGCCCAGGGGCCCAGCCTCCAGTAGCAAGGCTCAGAAATCAGGTCTTTTACGTTTTATACCAAGCTTAAGGCTTACTTGTTACTTCTCATGGAGAACAGGATGAAGGAAAAGCTGTGGGAAGTAAGAGGGAATGACAATACAGAAATGCACACGTACGAGGAAAGGAGGAATAGCGAGGACCAGAGGGAGACGGCGGAGCTCCGAGGAGGGGAAAAGCCACCCACCCACTGCTCCCGCTGAACACCCACCGTGTGGCCGGCACTGTGCCGGGAGCTGAGAAAGCCATGGCTCCTGCCATCAATTCCGCCCCCCACCCCCCGCCCCCAACTGTGGCAGGCAGACTCCTCGGAATTCTGAGGTGGAAGAGCACCTGGCGGTCGTCCCTTCTCACCTATTCCTCTTAGAGGCGATAGTGATCCAGAGGGTTCAGGCTCAAGGCCACACAGGTAACGACAGTGGGCAGCACCCCCTTCTCCCAACGCCTAGTCATAAACTTGCCTCGGAACAACCTTCTTCAACCCAAAATACTGCTCAAAATAAGCTTGAAAACCTTCCATTTCTTCCTGTTTCAAGGCTGACCTCGGCTCTCAAAACTTGGTAAACTCCGTCGGTCCTAGCGGCCTCCCTCCTGCGGCTCTCAAACGCGCACGGTGTGCCCAGGCCCGTCCTCCGAATCCCACTCTGGACCGCACGCTCTGCCTCTCCTGCACTTAAATGTTAC